CAGGTACAAGCAGATCACATGGCGAGAGAGGAAGCAAGAGAGAGGAGGTGCCAGGGACTTATAAACAACAAGCCCTCACAGGAACTAATAGAGTGAGAACTCACTCATTACTCCCCCGTCCCCCAGGGAGAGCATTAATCCATTCATGAGGGATCCACCCCCATGATTCAATCAGTTTCCAACACTGCCACGTTGGAGGTCAAATTTCCACATGAGTTTTGGAGGGGACAACACATACAAACTCCATCAGCTGCTAATGTTCACATAAAAGATAATAGAGTAATAGCAATTTATCCTTTTTTAATAAGGCCTGACAGTGCCATACCCATTAAAAATGTTCACTCTTAATGAATCTGTGTGTATGTATATATAGGTGTGTGTGTGTGTGTGTGTATATATATATACCCATACATAAAGATATGCATATATTTAGTTAAATATAGAATATATATGAAAAGATTGATAAACTGTTTTAACTGCTCTACAGACATCCCTATTCAAAATAATGCAAGAACTATCCGTAACTATTCTAAAAATAGTTAAGTTTTTAAGATATATAATCTTCAATGGGCACAAGGTTTTGTTGCTCCTAGCTTATCTGCAGTATCTTTTTTTCCACTCACCATCTGAACTATCATATGTAGTACAGAATTCTGAGAACTTCACCTGTCAGCTTCTTTGATATCCATGTCTTGAATATAGAGAATTTTGCCACACCAATTGACTGCGGAAACATTAGTTTCAACTTATTTCAAGTGTACTATTTATGGATATCGCTAAAATTTCGAGTCATTCTGTAAAAAATTAGAGCCTTCTTGTCCATATTCCACATCATTCACATTTCTTTCTCTGAATGCTAAAAATATATAATCCAGTAATTGGAAAAAACCTTAAGAAGCATATAATTACAATACCAATTATACAGATGGGCACACTCAGACTAGAATATATAACCTTGAACCAAGTCCTCCAACTTTTAGTTCATTTCTTTTTGACTATTCCATTCTACCTTTTCATACTACACTGAATTTTCACACCTTTCAAAAAGGTAAACATATAGAGAACCTTGGATCCTGCTATTTCCCTGTCATCATAAAGTAATAAAGGTTTACTCAATATCTTAGTACCAGGTAAGTCCCTAACTATCATTAATTAACTTTGTGTGCCTAGGGGCAATTTTGTGAGATTCTTTCTTTCTTTGTTTTCCACTGCATTCAGATACACCATCATGCTAACATGTCTCTGATTACTTTCCATGAAGAACAACAACTCAGATGATGTGCAGGAGCCAAATGTTGACCAGCTGCTGTAAGCAGCACCCTTATTAAATAGGATGAAATTTGTCACCTTATACAGGTTATTTCTAATAATAGTCCCAAGTTCATATTTCTTGTAATTAAATAAAAAACTAGGAAGCATCAGTTACTTGTTGAAAAATGCATGTTTAGCCAGCAAGAGATAAATGATAAAACTATCTGTGGATGTAGCTTTAACATGATCATTTGATATTAAAAGTGTCTGAGAGGAGGCCTACATATCGTGCCACATGAATGGTCTATTACAAGGTACGCTGGGTGGCTCCAGAAAGATTCTATTAAACGGAACATTTTTTTCACATGAAGATGCATGACTTCTGAATTGTAGTAACAGATGAAGAAAATTTTGACTAACAGATCAGGCAACCTGGCATTTTATTTTTATTATTAAAATAGTAAAGTAGCATTAATTATCAAAACAGGTGACAGCGAAATATGTGGAAACAGGCATATCACAGCTAAATCAGTTACCATTTTGACAAACAATAATGCAAAGCTGAGGGGCACTAGGGAATATCACAGAAACCTCATAAAAATATAGCAGAATTAAAGGTCTATCATGTTTTGCTGCTATGAGAAAATTGAACATATGAACAATAGATTCTTAAAATGTTCTTTCTGTTTGTAATTGTACTATTAAAAATAATTTTGCAACGTACTCTTCTCAGCAATAATTAATAAGAACCACAAAGTCCTTTCCTAACCTTATCCTTTAAATTTATCAATTCAAGCGGGTGTGTAGAATCCTGACCTTCATGCCTCCTTTTAGGGATTCCCAACCGCCTAAAGCATTCTTTCAGTTCTATCTGATCTGTCAACAGCTTTTAATACCAGCATTTTGGGGGATTCTGTTATCCTGTGAAATTTAATCTCACCTATTTAAGCTTGCAGAAAGTACTGGAGGGAATTATTAACAGATTTTCCCTCATCTTCTTAGAGGATAGCGCTGAGTGATGGACTGGTTTCCCTAAGGACCCATGGCTGAGAAGCACTAGTTTGTCAGTAGCATCCTATTTAGCATGTGTGTGAGGCCACAAGGGAGCCTGAAAGACATTTGGAATCAGAATTACATCAATATTCTGATGATGCCTCCGTATCTTCATTTCATCAAACCTATATCCTTTAGCATTAATGCTTTCTTAACTAAGAGGGAAAATGCCTCCAAACAGCACACTGCTTATGGCTCCAATTAGACAGCTGGAAACTATGCTGATGATACATTAGAGCAGTGGACCAGCAGGCTCACCATCACCAGGGAAGTTGTTAAAAATGCAAATTCTCAGGCCCACCCCAGACCTACTGAATTAGAAACTCTGGGGATAGGGTCCAGCAATGTGTGTTTAACAAGCCCTCCAGGTGATTTTAATACACACTAAAGTTTGAAAACCTTTGCATTAGAGAAATGGAATGTGTTTGTCACTGCAGAATCTATGGAGTGGTGCCTCCTAGTTTTGTAGATGGAAATACCTCTGCATCCAGTCATATCATTCTTGGTTACTAACCATACACATGGTAATATACATGCTCTCAAACAAGTCCATGTTAAATGTATCTGGCCTCTGAAATAATTCATATTTGTCACTAGAGATAAAAAAAAAACCTTTATATTGTTCTGTACTTCCTTCTCTCAAAGAATGACAATTAGATTGTAGCTTTAGGTGTATACATGCTGACATTCCTAATGCTGAGACATTTTTACTAACAAACCATGTTATTCTCAAATTCTACCCAAGAATCTAAGACCAGTAAACAATGCACATTTTTGAGAACAACTCTAAATGCCCTGAGCCTCAATGTTGATTGACTTTAAAGAAACCAAGTGTGGTTGAAGTATGTGTGTATTGGGGTAGAAAGCATAGGGGAAATAAGAGAAATACAAACGAATTGGGCATGATATTAAATTCTTCACACTGGTTAAAAATGTGTCCTAGAACATAATCTCTCTGAATCCATATCTTGAAGTAGATACATGATATTAAACCTCTACTTTCTGACTTTCCCATTTCTTGAGTGTTAGCACTGCAACATCATGAGCCCTCTTTTGATGTGTACAAAACCAAATAATGGACATAACATATTAACACTGAAACCTCTACACATGCTGGAAGTCCCCAATCCTAAAATGTATAAGCACTGGGCACTGATCCAAGCTTGAAATCTTTGCACACTCTGATAATGTATTACCTATTACTCTTTCTCTCATATTGAGGAATTTTCCCTAAAATTACTAGATGAAACTTCGAAGGCCTATATAACATTTATCTAACTTGGAAGCTATTTGTCCCTTTAATGCTAGAAGCCCTAGGTGATGATTCCCTCCAGAAAACATTAATTCCAGAATTATTTGCGGAACACTTTGTGGCATCCATTATGCTAGGGGGATGCCATTCAGGGTTATCTTCCCTTCCAACCCTCAAAGATCAGCCTTTTGTAACAACAACTTCTATGTCATTGGAATCTGAACAATAAGATTTAAAATATTTAGTTCAAAACATATTTTTCCAGTACTTATTATCTTCCAGGTCCTCTGCTATGCACTGGGATATCAAGATGAATAAAATCAGCTCCTGTCCTCTTGTAACTTTGGCAAGTTGCTTAACTTCACCGTGGCTGTTTTCTTTTTGTTTGTAAAATGACGTGATTGCACTAATTGAAGCCTAAGACTGCACTGCAGGAAAAACTCCTGTGATTATCAGACCACCTTGGATTTTGGAAAAGTCTAAAAGGGTAGATTGAGTGTAGAAAAGCCCAGAGAATAAAGGTGACATTTGAAACCCAGCCGTGAACCGTTGGTGACTGTGATATTTTAGTGAGATTAATTTGTAACATGGCTAATCTGCATGTAACAAATTCCCTATTGACCACCGTTATAAGTGTTGCTTAGTAAACAGCTTCCAAACATGTTCAGGCATTCTAAAGCAAATAAAATTCATAATAATGATCTGAATAAAATGAGTAATTTATCTTTCTATAAGTACATTTGGTTCTTGTTCTCATAATTAATATTTTATAGGAAACTATCTTTCCCTGACAGCATTAAAATTTGAGAAGTCCATGGTACATATAACCAGCTAATGCCCAACCCAAGACTAGTCACCAGTCACCTGTAAAAGTTAATGATTTTAAAGCTGTCATTTTTAGTAAACTAACTAATTATTAATTCTGAAGAGTGCTTACAGTACAGATTTTTTTTAAAAAAATATTTGCAATTTCTTCTTTCTATTTGCTTTATAGCAGAAGGAACTAACTGTAAGTTTGATAAGATATACATCTTTGAATGCAGCTTGTAAACATTGCTTATGGAAAAATTTCTAATGTCTCTAATTACCACATTCTAATATCTGCACATTTTTTGAAGAGTACCTATTGTTCAGGATATGGAAGACATGACACTTCCACTGTTACTATTTAAATAGAATACATTTCAAAAATATTAACACTGACAAAAAGAAGCACTTGTGTATTGACAAAGGTAAATTTCTCATTTTATCCAAATCAGTATCTTTTACTTGGAATGTCTGAATTAGAAAAAAACAATTAGGTGTTGCCTAGAAGTTTTTAAATTTGCACTTGAAAATTTCACGAACATTCTAATGACTTAAACTAGAGAACTGCACATTAACAGTTTTATCTTCTAAAATCTGTTGGATTACAACTCCCTGTTTTGTGATGGTTCCATTTTACCTCCTCGGGGACAGCTCTTATATTAACAAAGCCTTTTCTGAAGACGATGAACACACGGCGGGCTCCGCAACGTAGGGCAGACGTTGCACAGTCAAAGGCAGTGTCTCCAGCTCCAAGTACAATCACGGCTCCCCGTATCGATGGCAATGGAGAGTGACAGGCGCACATTCCTGAATGATGAAAGGAAAACCCTATTTTCAAGTAGAGAAACCATTTCTGCATGACAGCTCAAAAGATACTTGTACTCAAAGCAGTGTAAAATTGCATCTTGCAGTCTTCGAGGATGGAGTGTCACTATCAAATTATTCTGCTTCATTGAAAGACAGTTTTATTCCCATTTAAAAAATATGCCCATATATGTAATTTCATAGTCAGTACCTTTAGCCTCTTTTTTCCTTCTAGTAGGATTGCTACAACACATTTTGAAGAGTTTAGGTCATAGCAAACTGGAATCAATCCATTAAAACTCCGTCAAAGTCATGATATGTATTTTTAACTTAGTGTCATTAAATTTCTATTTGTTAGAAGAAAAAGGTGATCCTTATAATCTGGATTAATAATTTTCAGCATTTCATTAAAATGATTTATATATTATCTTATACAATTACTAACATATATCTCTGCTACACATTACATTTAGTACACTGAAAATGAACATGCCAAATAAGTGCCCTTTATATAACCGAAGAATTTCTGAGAACAATTTTTTTGAAATAGTTCAAATAAAACTTTCTTCCTTTTGCTGCTTTTCTCTTGTTTTGTTTGTAAAACTGGGCAATAAAGGAAACATGACATTCTAAGTGCCCATTCTCAAGGGCATTTGTATGAAAATTTGGTATTCATATGAAGATCTTTGAAAAATATAAAATGCAGGTGTTCTCTGTGTTAGACAGCACTGTATTATCAGATTAAATAAAACTGTTGATAAAATGAAATACTATACTTTTTGAAATGGCACTACTAATAGAATAGGCCTATAATCTCAATAAGTGTAATCATTTTGCTTGGAAGACTTTGTATTTGGAATCACACAATTGGCACTCTGTAATTCTCAAATATACGCAAGGAGCACCATGACCTTCCTCAGAAAGGGTTGCAGACACACAAGCGACCAGTTCTCTTTGGATGAGGAAGGCAGAGATGGGACACATCCTTAGGTCTAAATTTCTGCTGAATGATTTAATATTCAGTTTCTAACCTTTTTAAATTTGGGGGAAAAAATGTAAGTTCTTACCTTTTCCACATGAATTAGATGTATGAACAGCTATAGCAGACTTCTTCTAAAATATAGGCTTAAATGCTTTAGATTACTTGGCTTTAGAGAAAATATTACAGCTTCTTTACATCTAAGACCATGAGTGTAGTTGAGCCAAGGCCTGGTATACACTTAGTTTCAGGTTGTTCTTCTTGGGATACATGAAGTGATAGGGTGTCTATCAATAATATCTTTTACTTTCACTTCATAATATTACTGTTTAAGAAGAGATCTTGAATCTTTCTGCCTGTGTGGTCACAAATCACGTAAGATATGTGATGATTCATCCTATTTTAAAATAGTTCCCAAACTGAAGCTCCTGCCATTTCTTTTAAAAGCAGCTTCCAATGTTTAAGTGCTCTCTTACTTTGACGCAGTTTTTTATGATGTAGTTTCGAACTAACTGTATGTAATACAGTGAAAAATCCTTATGATGATGCTTTATTGGAAGAATGAACAAATAGATAATTCCGGCTAGTTTACTTCAAGTTTTTGTTTTTTTAACTTTACATTGGTATTATTCAAGGATCAATTTGTGATCTGAACAATGTCCTACTGAGTTTGAACTTAGTATAAATTTATAATACATAAAACAACACAGACAATATTAAAAATAGAAGACAATATGTTATACCTGCTTTACTGCCTTTGGCGACAAGTGGCAAAAAGTCTTTGGATGTGTAAAACCCCTGGTCCTGCGTCAGGCCTTCGAAGATGTGGTCTTTATTGGGTTCTGGCAAACCTAATTAATGAAGTTTATAAGATGTCATTAGCAGGAGGAGGGACTTTTCCTAATTGATATTAAAACAATGAAAGCTATGATCTTATTTATATGATCTATATAAATAAGCAAATCCACATAAAAATATACATATCACAATATAACAGACCTCAGAGCATACATTTAATACATAAGTCAGCATACATCATAAATCACACATTCATGTACACATACACATACACAGAAACATACTGTGATATCCACATGTACACACACATATACATAACATTAAGGGGAAAACGGGTTATGTTCTTTCTTCATTTCATAAATAAAAATAAGTTTCAGGTGTATTAAAGTGCTAAATATTAAAAATATTGGGGCCGGCCCGGTGGCGCACTGGATAAGTGCGCCGCTTGGGAAGCGCGGCGGCGCTCCCGCCCGAGGGTTCGGATCCCACATACAGACCGGTTCCCGCTCACTGGCTGAGCGAGGCGCGGGAGCAACACCGAGGGTTGCAATCCCGTTGCCGGTCCCGGTCCCCCCCCCCCGCAACACTGAGGGTTGCGATCCGTTGCCGGACATGTAAAAAGACAAAAGACAAAAAAAAAAATCCATAACAAAAACTAAAAGAAAATGTAGGTAGTATTTATCTAATTCCTGGACATGGTAGATCATTCTAAGGAAAAAAAAAAAAAAGGGAAAGAAAACCTCAAAGGAAAAATATATATTTTAACCACAAAAATCAACCACTTCTACATTTCAAAAATATTATAAACAAATTAAAATACAAATTATTAACCAGAAAATATTTTAACAAATAGTAAAATGTCTTTACTATACAAAGAAGTTTTTCAACACCAGTAAGAAAAATATTAGCTTTCCAACAGAAACATAAACAAAGGATAATGAAAATTGGGAGAGGAAAAAATATAAATAGTTATCAGCACTAAAAATATTAACTCCATCTGTAAAAAGCTACTGATTAAAATAATGAGATATGATTTCTCTGTTAAAAAGTAAAAGATTTAAGAAAAGTAAACCACGCGCAGCACGGGTAGGATGAAACGTATCATAGTGTTTTGGTAGAAATACATCGGTGATTAATTTTTAGAAAAGACTTTTGAATGTTCTAAGAAAACACTAAGATATGCAAATAAAGATATAATGTACAAAAATGATCAATGAAAAAAAAAAAAAAGCATGGGAGAATACCCGAATGCCAACTGAATAAATAAATGAATTTTACTTTAAAAAATAAAAAGACAACAGAACAAAATGCATCCATTAAAATGAATATTTGAAATATATAGTACTCATAATCAAAACACAGTGCTAAATGAACTAACAGAATACAAAACTCTGTACCAAATTTTGTAAAAATTAATGTATAAACTATGTCTTAACAGTGATCATATCTCGTGGTGGGATTATAGATATTTTATTTTTTATTTCTTTTTATTTTTTATTTATTATTTCCTTATTTTCCAAATTTTCTACAACATGCATGAATCAACTATATAATTAGGAAATAATTACCAAAATTTTGTAAAGAAAAAAAAATACCAGACTAAATTTTTTTTCAAAGTATAAACAAAGCACATCATACAGCAGTCAACCCATCCTAGGAAAGTGGAGAAATAATTCATCTCTATTCCATAAACACAGGTGAAATATGCAGTTTAATTTAATTTACTTCCCAAACTCATTCTACCAATGGTCCATTCAACAGAGGTAGTAGTTTATTTTATAATTAAATAAAGGGTAATGGGTGGTTGCTGGTGGACACAGAGTAATAAGCATGGCCCCAAAATGACTTTTGCCATGTGAGGTAAGGTAGATGCCACATGTGATCTGAAAGCTAAAGGTTCTTGTAGGTTGTATAACCAGCAGTAAACCACTGCTGTCTCTTCAAATTAAACCGAACATTTTCATCCTTGTTCAGCACTCTCTCCATCCCATCCCCCAAAAGATTTGCTCACAGATTATTTCAAGACCTTTTCTTTTTAAAATTATTTTAATTACCAAGGAAGGTTGGGCACGCCACTTGACTTGCCCTTGCCTTGGCTTCTCTGTAAATGAAATGGGGATAAGACTGTTCTTTCATTTTCTGACACAGAAGAATATTCCTGAGGTATACTGGTAACATGACAATGATTATACAAATGTGCGGTTGCTTGTGTGATTCTTTTAGAAAACCTGGGTAGTGGATGGGGGAGAAGGGAGCTATAAAAATAGGCAAATATGTACTTGAAGACTTCCTGATGACAATTTTTCCTGAAAGCTATTAAAAGATGACTGTAGTTTAGGCTACACTCGATTAGTCAAACCAACATATACATATGCTACATATCAAGATTTAAATAAGGACCTAAGTCTCCTCTCTCATCTTATGGCACTGTAGAGATAGCATATGTTCTATACCACTTCATTTTCATGTTTAAAAAAACACAAAGAAGAAAAACAACCTGAAGTGCTATGCAATTTCAAGGTGATGTGATAAGCAAAAACCCTTACGGTGGATAAAAAATGAGACACAGAGAATGGAAGTGATGGATAAAAGTTCCACAGACACTGGCAATAAGGTCTAAAATCCTTCCTTTACCAACTCCTAATCTGAGCTTTTACACTACTTACTACGGTTAAGGCAGAGAGGGAACTTCATGTCTGTAGCTATTTTCTATAACCACCGTTAAAATAACTGTTATCTGAAGAAGCG